TTCAATCACCTCGTGCAAAGGAGTTGTCTCCGAAGATGCTTGCAGTTGCTTGGCCATGCTTCTTGTAACAACGCCGAGGTTGGAGCTTGAAGAACTTGTTGAAGGAATCTTGACTACGGCGACCTTGCGGCAAGTCATGATGATTTGAGGAATTTTGAAGAAGAGATGAGAGGTAGAGAGGTCCCACTGGGTGTGCCAAAAATTTGTAACGACAAATTTCGTGTATTGAATTTAAAAACACGAAAAATATTATTCAAATAAATTTCTTGAATCAAAATAAATATAACGGGTTACAATCTCTATTATTCCTCTGATTCTTCTCACGAACAATTTTAAGTCTTGGAGCGAAATCTTCGGCTTGATCTTCTCCTTGACTTGGTTTGACTTGAATTAACGTTAATCCGAGGGTCAACGCCTTGATTTCGGATCAAACGTCAAAATATCCCAAGAACGCGAAGAACACGAATCCTTGGTCTTCGTCGCAAAGTAGATCTTGAATCTTCTTCACGCCGGTTTTGAATTTACTAACGTTATTCGGAGGCTTTGCAGCTTGTTTCCGGATTAAACGCCAGTCTTGAGGTTGAATGCGCTTGAATCTTGCTTCGAATCTTCAAGAACGCCTTTGAATATTCAAGAACACTTGAATCTCGTCGAGAGAATTCTCTAGAGCTCTTGAACTTTGAATATGAATTATGAGGTGTCTTTTTTACATTAGGGAGAGCCCCTATTTATAGGTGTAGAAGGGAGAACTTTACCAAATTTAAAAATCGTAGGACGCGATTTGATTGGTCCATGACGATTCACATAAGATCTTTTAGATCTACTTAGATCTCCCAAGATCTTCTAGAAGACATATGATTTCTTACCAAGAATTAAGATTTGACACTTGGCAATATTTGATTGGTCAAGAATTAAAATATTAAAATATCAATTAATTAACTATTTAAATTTAGGAATTAAATTTATGGAAATTCCTAAAATATAAATAGAAAAAGTGACTTGATTTTTAATAAATTAATTTCCACGTGGCGCCATTTGATTGGCCACAAAATTTCTTTATTTACACACGCATAACTCCAAAGCATAATTTTTTGCCAAATAGGATTTTGAAACATGTGTAGGCTCAACGCATTTTGAAATTATATATAGAAGGGATGTACTCATTCAATTTTACATAAGTTCAAGTTAATAAAAAATCGTTCGCAAGAGCAAAACCGTGTGTTTAAGATTCGTGAGAGTTTTATCATACAAATCAAGTTTGGCAAGGATTGACACCCAAACCATCTCAAAATCGTGAGAAGAATAACCGAGTCGTCCACACCTATCGCCGAGAAGGAAGCCGTGGCAAGCAACCGACGAGGCAAACGAGTTGAGGAGATACACGATTATTCATCAGGGAAGCCGCACTCGCACACGAGGGAGATTTTATTCTCTATCCTTTATCTTTTATTTATTTTTATTAGTATGTTATGCTAGTTATTTTATCCAATTTAAGGGGGTGCTTAAACCCTAATTTAGATTTGTCTATGAATTGAATGATCTATATCTTATCGTTGATTAATTAAGACCTAATACATATTTTGTTGATTAGTTGATTAATGCTATCTGTGTTTAATGTTTACGAATTACGGTGTTTGATTTAGTGTGGCCAACTACGCTAAATATTCATTGTTTACTTGCTAGATTCAGGACTTTAATCCATAATTGTTATTGTCTCGTTTCGTTAGTAGTAAACTAAGGGTCGTGCATCTCTAGGGTAGCTTGAACATAAGTTAAATGGTCCGAGCTTTTTCGTCCATTGCTTAGACTGATCTATTTTCTTAGGAATTAATGCTGCTAGTGCATTAAATCTAGAGAGCTTATTCTAGGTTATCCACTAGTTAAGTTTGGTCGAAGAGCTTATTTTGATTAAATATTCGGTAAGGAAAAATTCGGTTAACAGAGATTGTTGTTAGCTAGGATTGGTAATTCGTTAACAATTTAAAGAAAGTGTTGAAATTAAGTAATGGTAGATTTAGATTGGGTGATAACTGAACTGAAAATTGGTCTTCTCTCATTTTATTTGATTTTTATTTTATTTTGATATTTTATTTTTAGTTTTATAAATTAATTCCCCCATCTTTTATTGCTTTTGTAGCTTTAATTAGTTCAATTAATACGAAAATTGTCAAAATTTAATTTCTGCTCCTCGTGGGATCGACCCTCTAATTAGTAGAGGTTAGTCGAGTAAAACTTTATAAATTTAAATTAGCCGCGTCGCGACCCGCGGTCACATTTGTATATGAAATGAGTGTTTGGACTTAAACTACAAGCTCGTTATAACATTTAAAATCGGTCCCCCTGAGTGAAATTCCTAGATCCGTCACTGAATGTAATATACAAGTTTTATTCNCGGGTTACACATAGGTGTGTCAAGTCACACGAGCCTATGACTAATGTGAAATTACATAAATGACCCAACCATCAAGACATGATTCGTGTGGCACTATACTACTCGTGTTGGTCATGGACGTCCAAAACAGCCTGAAAACTTCATTTTAAGCCAGACGACATATCCAAGTCATCATCTTCTAGCGACTCTCCTTTAGCCCAGCGTTATTGCTCCTCATCAGCAGCATGGTCGTAATCGAATCTCAGCACTCTCTAAATGGTGGATGTGTGTTGTGCACTTGTGCTGTTCTTGTGAGGAAGGTGTATTCATGCTGCAAAATTACCAGTGTACCCTCACTTTAAATTCTATTTGGAATGTTGGGTCTACATGCGCCTTGATGTGCTGTGTAGTTGGTGGGTATGTGCTGCGTGCATCTCTAATTCATTCTTCATTTGTTTCTTGTCGTTTTCACCTTAAATAATTTTTCTACCACATTACCTACAAAAATCCAAAATAATATACCTCAAGTAATATCTTAATAAAATTAATGATATGAATAAAAATAGATGTAGAATTAGAAACAGATACCAAAATACTCTACATTATACACAAGAATGACACATGTCACTAATGTTCTCATGTTATATATAATTAAACTTAATGTGTTTGAAACTCCACAACAAAATTGTAGAATTGAAAGAAAAATCAATATTTATTACTTCACGCACATTTGCTTTTATGTTTTGGATTGATTGTATTTGTAAGAATAGGGAAAAACATGCAGTCCCAAACACGTGAAGCGCACCATAATTGGGTGAGATTAGATGCACCATAGTGATGTTTCATCTTAAAACCATTGGTAGTAAGAGGATGAGCTCACTAGGCTTATAAGTTAGGCATATTTTCCTTGTATAAACGATGTGAGACAACTCACAAGTGATATTATATTCTAATAGTATTCTTTATGCCACATATATCATACATAGAATACCTTTTTTTTTATTTTGTAAGGAAAACCAGCGTTTGAATTACTGTATAATAAAAGGGCGAATTTATTTTACACTTCAATATATACATGTACTTTCTTTTACACACTGACGTCCCATCAAAAAACTTCTTTTTCACCACAATACTCGCGAAAATATAAAATCTAGAATTGGTGTCGATCATACACGAAACGAAAATAAATCCTAAACATTCTAATCACAATTGATTTATAGACTTATTCTAGACTTGTTTAGTTTTCGAGCTCGGCTCGATAAAAATTCGAATCCAAGCTAGCTTAAATATCCAAAACTTCAGCTTAACTCCACTCGGTTCGTGTATATTTATCAATACAATAGTTGTCTAAATCAGACTATTGTAGTACGTATTTCGAGTTTACCATGTGACGTGTGATCCACTCCAAACAATTGCCAATTATCGACATAAAGTCAGTCTTAACGATTGATTTCTGAGGAAGGAGGTAGAAAATTAAAATCAACGTCAATTATTAAAATTGTGCAACTAATAATTTTTTTTCTAAAATAAAAAATTAACATGAGAAACAGTAATTTATTCAGCATGAACCTCGTTTTAATTAAGAAATTAGGCACTTCATAAGTTGTGTTAAAATAAGATTTAAATCATTGTACAAAATTAATTAAATTTTTCTCCTTTGACACTAGAGTTTTTCCCAGCTGGCTTCAAGATCTGAGGCGCCGACTGAATCTAGTAGTAATCGTTTAGCGAGTAATAAAAGATCTTAGATGGGCATCGACCTCAAAATTAATTCAACAATAATGATGTACTAAATTACTCATGCAAATTTAGTTTTGGAATAATATGGAGTTGACTAACTTGTAGATTGATCATTACCGTCACCGGCGGATTTACACTTTAAATTAAGGGTACATGCCAATTTGTGCATATATTAATTGTTTTGTTGCGCTAGAATAATCTACAACTTAAAAAAAAATCCAACAAATATATTAGTATTGAGAAATATTTGTATTTGGCGAAGAAGACAAATCACCCAAACAAATTGCAGTTGTTTGACTTCTTAATATATCAATTTTTTTTTATGCTTTTTTTTTTTTTTGTGTTTGACTTCCTAATATATAAATTTTTTCGGATGCTTGCGTGCCCGCGGAATTTAAACCGGATCAAGCACTAATTTCAAATATGTAAGAAAGTACCTTTCTCGATTGGCCTCTGTGGCTAGCTTAATTAATGAAAATTTTGTTGCTGGTTTTCACCAAATTTTGTTGAAAATTTTCAAAACCCTCAACTTCTGTCCAGTTTTTTCCTCAAAAAGGAAGTAAAACTCATCATCAATTATGGTAACAAATTACTAAATTATTTATAAAAATAAAAATAAAAGAAGTTAACAAAACGAAACTGCATGAAATGTATAAAGGTGAAAGTTAGGGGAACCAAAAAATACTAGTTAATTCTAGGGCTTATTAGTGAATAACTCTACATCTAATTCAAACTTGTGCCTGATTAGTTTAATTTGATTACCAACTGGCAATATACTTCAATAATCCAAAATTATTTCAAGTTGAGTATGCTCTAGTACACTTGTAATTTTAATTTTCTCTGATTCACGTGGATGGGTGTGGAGAAATTCAACTTATGTCGAGGCAAAATAATTTTATATACAAATTGAACTGCTTCAACACCACTATATAACACCCAATTTTCCCATAACATTTTCATCACACAGCTCCTCAAACTTTCTTAATACTTCACATAATAATAATAATATATAGTTTTTGCTCGCAAACAAATGGCAAGCTCTATTGCTAAACTCGTGTGTGCGGTTCTGATATTGGGCCTTGCCCTGCCTGGTACTTGGGCCACAGAGTATGAGGTGTGTGATAGCGATGGTTGGGCCTTGGGTGTTAATGTCTTAGCATGGATTTCCCCCAAGACCATTCACGTTGGCGACACCTTCAGTAAGTCAATGCAATTTACAAATATATAAGAAAATATGTTTCACGTTTGTGCTTAATTTGATATATTGGACTCCTAATAATATTCGAATGATCACTACATATGAAATTGCACATCCATTATAGACTTATAGTTATTGAATTGATGATGGTAATGTAATAATTGATTTTTAATTTTATATGATCATGTAGTTTTTCATTTCGTAAGTCCTCGAACGGTGGCCATTGTGGACGAGGCTGGGTTCTTGTTGTGTGATGCTTCTCATGCAAGTTACAACGATGCAAGTGGCTTCTTCAGATACACTTTCACTAAAACCGGGACTTATTACTTTATCTCTGCTGGGCTTTTGGACTGTGTTGCTGGCCTCAAATTGAAGGTCGTTGTTGTTTGAAAGAAGAGATGATTCAAACACTACATCGTACCACAGCTGGGTTCATATATACGGAGCCACACACGTACAAGTGTGTGTTTTCTATATGTTCAGTTGTAATAAGTAGTGTTATTTTATGTCTTTCATGTCCTTTTTAGTTTATTGTTGCGAATAAATGGGCCGGTGGTGTTGTATGTTCTCTGCATGTTAGGTTTCAACACACGTGTGGTTTTCCGTATGAACTTTTCTCGTTTGTATTAAAGTAAGTAATGGTTAATGTTGATGTTTTTCAATTAACTTTCCCGCTTCTTAAGGTTTTAATTCTCTCGCAATATGGATGTTTTCATACGTTCAATTTATTCCCTCACTTCTTAAGAGTCTAATTCTCTAGTAAAATTCTATCAATATAGGAGCCTATTTAGTTCTTAAATTATATAGATTTTTCTAATTATAAATCAAATATTATCTCTCAGTCTCAATTATATCACAAATATGCATAAATAGTAGAAATCTACTCATACAATAAGAATAAGCACGAGAAATTTACAATTGAAAAATATACCGGAATGTAATGAATAAAAATCATATCATAAATCAATACGAATAATAACAAATCCCAGAATNCCTATAAACATCGTTTCACAACCGTCTCTCCTATCTCCGTGCAGTCCCGCCGTCGCATGTCGCCGGACGTCATCTGCTTTCTCTTGCCGGCGGAGCTCCTCGCGGCTGTAACTTCGTCGGTGTTAGGAGCTACCCCAACAATTTTCCCATCGGCTACCCCGCGGCCAATGTTCCCGTGACGAAGTTGGCTGCGGCTCCGCATCTATGGTCTATCCTCCGTCGACGCCGACGAGCTCTTTCAATGGATCGTCGGCGACAAGCTACCTCGACGGAGCGCCGAATATGATGGTGGCGGCGGGCTATGGTGTCGGCGACGGGATGCTCGGCGGTGTTCAAGTGGCCGGCGGCCTCAGATAAATGTACTATGTGTGTTCGACGGTGGGCAATTGGGTTATCTCTGTGTGTATCGTGAATGTGCAGAGAGAGAGAGATAAATATACTAGTGAATGTCTGCGAGAGAGAGAAATTAGGGGTTGGTGGCTTGTGGTGGGTCCCACATTATGATTTTTGATTTATAATGACTAAAATACCTTTAATAACTGGTCAAATATTTACATTTGACCACAAGGTGTATGTTAATTTACCATACTGTCATTAATGATTGACTCAAATTTGACTTTATCATAACCAATTATTTGATATATTAATGGTTTAAATCTATTCTTATCTCTTTCACTAACACCCTTTCTCATTTGATCCTAATTTTTACGTACATTATTCAATTGGAATTTTAAGTGACATTTTAAAACTTTTTAAAATTTGAAACTTTTTAGAATTTTCAAATTTTAGGAGAATTATATGAAATCTTACGTTTGGAGGTAGAATTTGAAGTGAAATTTCGTATAAGGTTTTTTGTTTAGAAATCCCACCAAATCTTAGAATGTTTTAATAAATCCTAGTGGCAAATAATTAAATACCTCAGAATTTTGTAAAACTTTTTAAAATTCCAATTGAATACCCTAAGATTTAAAAGTCGTAAAAAATCTTAACAAATCAATTTAATCTAAATTGAATACACCAAGATTTCTAAAGTCTTAAAAAATCCTAATTATAAATACAGGACAAATATTAGTGACGGATTACATGACAATTGAAAATTGCAATAGGTCTTGTGGACACGTGTGGCGCTGGGTAGAGCTAAATAGAACACAAAGCTGACACGTTAAAAAGTGATGCTAATTTGATCGCACACGTGGCGGTGTCTACACATACAATTGATGTCTGATGACCCACTAGCCCGTCAACCTTTCGCACTCTGTTTTTTGAAAAGAAAATTCACGTTAATCAATCTACCTATGGAAGAATCCCGACCACCGTCAACGGCCGAAAAAGGCGCACCCGTAAAGAGAGGACTTGTGGCGTTAACGGCGTCTATCCAAGAGCGCCTTGGCTATCTCAAGGCGTTAGCGGTAGGTCTCACTAGAAAAATCACCGCCAAAACCGAGAAAGAAGCTACCGAGGCCGATATGCAGACGGCCAAGATGCAGGTCGACGCCGCCAATCGAGCTGAAGACATCAAGAAGAGTGTGGCTGACGGTTAATTAAACAACTGTTGTGTTTGTCTCTTACTATTTTAGGTACCTTTCCATTTAGTAACTACGCACTATTAGGTAGTTCCTTTTCGGTAGTTTTTGCTTTCTGTAGAGATTATAATGTCTCTGTAATGGTGAATGCTTTGGTAAATCGTATATATACTGTTTATTATGCTTCTCCTCCTGAAGTTTTGGGTTCTGGCAATGTTAGATATGACACCATATATTACTTCAATATGTTTCGCCTCATATTTCATCCTGGCCCCTATGTGATTTGTGTAATATTTGCTTTTATATGAATAGGTTCAGTATAATTAACTTGTATTTGAGTTGTTGTATTGGGACTCGCTCAAATATCAATATTCTTAAGCATTTGTGTTCCACGCATTTTCTGTTAATCAGCCATTAGAAGTTAGAACACATTGGAAATCATTTCAGTTCAATCATTTCATCTCGCTATTCTACTGGTGAGTGAGATGGATTAATCTTCATGCCTAATTTCGAATGGGAACACAACAAACAACTCATTTTACAATAGATTGTTATAAATGTTCAGATATCAAATCTCCATGTATAAAAAAGCTTCAGTCACACGAAAATCTTATTGCTTATAAACACATTGTAGTAACTCACTTCGTGTCCATAACCGAGTGTTGATGAGTGCTCAGATTCGAGCCTTGAGACGAGAACAAGTTAGGGTACGAGAAATACGTCTCGTCATCCATGGACGGTAACCTCTGAGGTTGATGGGCCACAACACCCGAATCACCACCTGGCGGAGAAGATGGATCAATCGAGTGTCGTTTGTCCGAATCATCCGAAACCTGTTTATGTGGAGGATGAGATTGGTTCTCAGCCTCATTCGGATCAGGGGCACGATCGTCTTTTTTCTTGACAAGCTCACTGATCCGGAGTTGGGCGAGGCTGGCTGCTGACCTGGCGGCAGCCGCAGCACGCTCAGCTGTCTCTGCAGCTGCCTGAGCAGCAGCAATTACATCTCCCAAGTCCACTTTTTTCTCGTTATTTTCGGTCGTATGGTCAGACGGGATGTTTTCCGGCAAAGATTGCGGTGGAGGGGACATGAAAGGCACAAATTGTTCGTCGTCGGCTTTACTCGACGAGTTTGACTGCTCGTCTTCATCGTCAGGATCGGAGAGTGCCGATGAAGGAAAATGCAGCATTTCGGGTGCTGAGGCAACTCCCTTATTGGGCTGCACAATGAGCGGCTGCTGCTTGGGAACTTCCGGAAAATCTAACAAGTCGGGATCAACCTCACTAGAATCGGTTTTTTCTTCAGCTGAAGTGGCGTGTGTTGTTTCTTGATGCTTTTCTTCCGGAAGGGGCACTTTGGAACCGGTCACAAACAGGGTTGACCCATTCTGACAAGGAAAAAGGCCACATGAAACTATGTTAAAATTAGTGTAAAACATTTGTTTCCAACCTGTACTATACGTGTTTTTGGAAATTGCAACCTATAGTATTTTTCATTGTAAATTGCAACCTGAACTTCGTGAACATTCAAAATTTTCATGCTCACCTACTTCTTGAGCATACGATCATCCGCAAAAATGGACACGTGTATGATCAAGATGTAATCGAGTATGCAAATTATAAAAATTCATTAAGTTCAGGTTGCATTTTGCATTTTACTACTGTAGGTTGCAAAATACCTACAAAACCCAAAAACATTGGAAAAATTTATTTACCATTAAAATTATGATATTAATGTTATAAACGTGTTTTAAGGAATAGTTTTCCTCTTGCATCCATCATACCGTGAGACAGTATCTTAGGGTCTCTTACCAGTAAGTCTTCATGTGGCTTTAACAATTCACTTTCTGTAGCAGCAGGATCCCAGTCAAGTTCGTGCTCTTCAGCAATTTCTTTGAGTAGCTTTAACTTCACATCAGGAGCAGGTGCACGAACAGAGAGGAGCTCCACCAACTGGTACATTTTCAATATCACCAAGAAAATGTTAAGAGAAGAAAAAAAAAGTAATTACCTGTAAAATGTGGCAAGAAAACAGTAGGTCTGTACCTGGCGATTGACACCGCATTCCGGCATAAGCTCGGTTGCAGCAGACACAAATTCTTTACCATATTTACCAACAAACAGCATTTGTACCTGTAGCAACTCTGGCAGGTCAGCACACCTTGGTGCAGCAAAGCACACACTGGAAATCGCCTCTTTCAAGTCCAGTGGGCATTCCCTGTAATGTGTACAACACAAACAAGGTTAAACTCGAGCCAAGTTAAATACGGTTTAATCAATTTCCTTAGCATGATAATAGATAATGCAGGAGAAAAGTTGTGATGCATATCTCAATTTTCGGATAGAAATGTCAAAACATATGTAATAATGCAGGTGAAAAGTTGTGATATGTATCACAATTTTCTTATAGAAATGTCGAAATATACCAAATCAGAAAAAGAAGGCCGACTGATCCATGACACATGAAAAAACAAAAAATGTTGCAGACCACATGATCAGCAGCATTGATTTAGAAGCTCAAACTGTTGACCAAAGGATAATTTATCACCACTTTCACTACGATAACAAAATGCTTGTAAATTTAAGATTTTCTGGTACCTGACACTAGTCAAAGGAAAAGAATAAGCAATATAAGTTCATAGCTCCACAAGCATAAATACTCTGCAAAAAGATAATGACCATACAAAATTGATCCCAACAACTAAAGAAAGTATCTTCAGCCATTTTCTTTATCCAAGAGCTTCACATTTCAGCGTACTGAATACGGAACACACTTGGATGTGTATCCTTCTGATAGAAAATGTTTCAGCATGTGATTGGATATAAATTCAATTAAAAAAAAAAACAATCAAAAATCAAATTTAACTCAACACTATTATCATAATTAAATAAAATATCAACCACTAATTCTTACACATCACATCAACTTTAATTCACTATTCATCCACTTACATAATTTTAACTAACCATCACTTCACATCATCTCTATCCTAGTTTTACATCAAATCAACTTTAATATTTTATTTTAAATGTTATTTTAATTTAAACTTAAATTTCCACTAACAACTAACCATACCACCTTTTTTCAAAATTAACTATGGTTAACAAAAAAACAATCAAAATCCAATCAAATCCATATCCAATCACACCTTAAGAAACTCAACACGTTTCCAAGATGCAAAACATTCCCCATTGTTAAGCCACTTGTGATCATGCAGGAAACCAAAGGCATGGAAAATAAAATTGAGTTTGTTCATAAAATGAGGAAATGTGAGCATTTATCGTCTTAAATCACAAACCAATTTAAAAATGCAAGAAACAGTCAATTTAACACAAACATAAGGAACTTCACATTCACATTCTCTTTATATGATATCAGACTGTATTCTCATGAATACTGATGGATATTTTGCTTTCTCCCTGCATAAGGAACCAGTCAAACTTCTTTCTTCGTGTTCCTTGGATGATTTGTTAATTGTTCATGTATTACGCGCTCTCTGTATTAGTTATTGTTCCTGTGCCTATACACTACCAATGCAATTTAAGTAGATACACCTGAGGTATCGCTTCATAATTAATAAGTCATTATTCCTGAATAACACCTAAAAAAACAATGGAAGAGAAGAATGAAAGTAGACCGACGCCTCCATACGTATACTATAAGACCACAGAACATGCCAGAAATTCTAGTGACACACATAACCAAATTAATTATTAACTATTATCAACACTGTATAATGACCTGCATCTGATAACCTAGGAAAAAGTGATACCTTTGTGCATCTATAATGGGAAGGCGGACAGCAATGAGCTCACAGAAGAGCTCAACGATCCCTTGTGCAGCCATCATCTTCTCTTCTCTTATGATATGCTCCACCTGAAACCAAAAATATATATTAAAAAGGAAGAAAACATAATCTATTATTCACTCCTCAGGATGCTGACTAAAAACCATATAACAAGTTCAAAAGGTACAAAAGAAGTAAATTTTCTACAAATGAAAATAAACATAAAAAATCAGAGGAATTTTGGGTTATTAAAAATACCCGAATCCGGGCGGTGGCTTCTTGACCAGTTTCAAGTAGCTTGGCAATATCTTTACGCATCTGCTTGACCTGAATCTCTCTTCGATTCCTAAGTAACTTAATCCTTGGTATTGTGAGTTTTAGCAAAGTCTTACTGCATTTGTGGAAGAACGAAAAAAGAAAATTACAATTAGAATGCATATTATCACTACACTAAACCCAAGTACAAAAAAAAACCCAATTTAATCGAGCAAGCAAATTGGATCAGATATGGCAAGAGGGATCAATGGCATCGCCATATAAGAAAGATCGTGATTAAAATTTTCAAGGCCGTCAAGATCAAATAGTATTTGGGAAGCAGCTGAATTATGTAGGGACTCATAAAACCCTAAATCACTTTACAAAGTAGGTATATCTGCATATCTGAACCAAATCAAAAGAAATACAAGCGAGAACTTGGAGATTACCATTTCGCAGCGTTGAAGCGCTGTTTGAAGAAGGAATCAAGCATCGACATAGCTGAATACCCGAATTCAAAGTTCGTGACTTGAGATTAACGTTTTCGGAGAAGATTATAGAGAGCAATAGAAAGAGGGAAAATATATTTAGAAGAAAACTTGAGCTGAAAACGCACCTGCTCCACCACAAGACAAGACAACCACAAGAGAATGGGGAGAGGGACCCGTATGACGGTAGCTCGGACGGGGACAACTTTCTTACTATGGAAGGATATTTCTAAAATTAATTAATTAATTACACTTAGATTTTGTCAATTTAATAAAATAGTAAAATACTATAAAGTGTGATGGCAAAATTAGTTTGGCTATAAGAATTATTTAGTATAATGGCATTGGTGTATGATGGAATACCGTAGAAATAGAATAGAATGGTCATTTCAAAGTTTTCTAAACTCAGTTCAGGAATCAACCGGAAGGAGTCTACGGGTGACTAGATTAATTGTTGAACTGAATAACTAATTTTATAATTTTTAAAATTATATATAACATATTTGTCATATAAATATGTATAAAATTAATAAAATAAAATAATTTATAGATAAATTTTGTACATCAAAATGTTAATAATAGTGTATCTCATAATAAATATTTATCATATAAATGTATAAATATAGTTTTTATTGTTAAAATATCAAAAAATGATTACCATATAAATGATTAAATAGTTACCATCAAATATATACTGGATCGATGCACAGGTCGATCGGGTTTGACGGGGTCTGTTTACTCGGTTCAAATAACCCACCCGAACCGGTTCTGTTTCCCAAGTCGACCCGTCAGGCCAGTCCAATTTGAAAAACTATGGACATCTTCTTAATAATTTCTGATATTGTGATTTGAATAATTTATAATAAGGATGATTTTATTTCAATGGCAATTGTTAAACCTACTGATATAGATTAAACGATAACATGTGGTTCGGATTAAACGATAACATATGGTTTTTCTATCCTGCCGTCTTCAAAATTCTAAAACTAACAAATGGCAATGAGAATGCAGTCGAGCAGCCCACTCGGACAGTATTGGGCAATAAGGTAACACACTCTTATATAAGGGAATGAGATATGTCAATTCTCACTCTACATTCTCCAAACTCTAAATACTTAGAGAGCTTTATATTTAAAGTTAATCGTCTTCATCACTGTGGGCTGACTTGATCGTCGGAGTGCTAACGTCGGGAACCCCTCATGACCCATTTTTTCAGGTCTACGAATAGGTTAGAAAGTAGATCCAGGTCGTGCAAACCCGATCGAGTTCTTTTGCATACTAACTACATTCTTGTTAAATTAAGTGTAGGTTTTATAACTTTTTTCACAAATTCACAATTTTACCATCACTTATTTATAATCGCAATAATATATTATAATAAGGAAAGAGACTGATAAGTACTATTGTGATTTATTTATTGATAATGTTTGAATACGTTAAATTTCATATTCCTCAATTCTTAACATGAACTCTAAAATGATACCTATTTTATATCGAGTGAAATGACATATAAATCATATATAAAACAAGTTAATATTTAAAATTCTTTAGTAATAAGAAATATTCATTCATTGCTTTAATTTATAAGATGTATCATTATTCTGTGTGCATTGATGGACTACGTGCTATTATTTGTTCAAGTTTCCAATGTTCATACCAAATTGTTCCAAATTGTTGACTTCTTCCGAAAGCTTTAGATACAATATAGCCTCCAATACAATCTATGTTAAGCAAACTCTATCCATATTAAGAAATACAAACTATTAGTACAATACCGTGTGAGTACACGGGTGTTGAATTAGAAAACATATGTAAAAAATAATATTTTTTTAAACTAAAATAATTTAATTTTATATAAAACATTATTTTGAGTTTTAATTAAATTGTCAAATTATATTTTTTTAATCATAATAATTAAACATCCGTATATTAAATAAAAATGTCAACTCATATTGTATTTTTTTTACTTATATCATATAAAATTATCAATATTATTTACTATTAAATAGAAATAATATGGTGATATGCATATGCATAAGTGCAGAATATGTTTGTTTAATATTAAGCAAAATAGATTAATTTTTTACTTAATTAGATGTCGAATACATAAGTGTCGTATCCGTCGTACTTTATAATTTTCTAATTTTATATGTAATTTTAGAATTTAGATAAATAATTATTTTTTTTATTAGATTGATAACATAACAATTAGATTTGAAATATATATTATTTTTAAAAGCATACAGACCAATTTCTATTACTTTATAATGTAATTTATAGTTTTATTTGATATCTTTTAATTTAGTTTGATAAATGAACTTAAAATTTATTTATAAGAATATATATTACTATTTTGTATTATATATGTAATATGGATGTCAAATCGAAAATTGTTAAAATATACTTAATTTGATATATCATATATACAAAATAAAATACAAACAAAAAAGTTAAAAAAATTTAAAATAAGAAGAAGAAACATTTATAATAACTAATGAATGAATTAAATAAGAAAATGAAATGTAATGTATGTTAATGTAGGAAAAAGAAATATAATAATTTATGGTAACTAATTGTAAAAATAAAGAAGGAAAAAAAATCAATTATGGATTTAGTGTGATAAAAAATATTAATTTACATCCAAGTATAACTCCAAAGCATGTTAATTTATATCCAAGCCTAACTCCAAAGCATGATTTTTTGTCAAATAGGATTACGAAGCGTGAGAGTTTGTCACGTAGGCTCAACTCAATCTGAAATTATATATAGAGAGAGGAAGAGCTGGCACTCAAGTGTATTCACTCAAATCCTAGCACTCTAGGACATATAGGGTCTGTACTGCCAAGTCTTATTCAGATTCCAACATTTGTTTATCTGGTAGCATTTGTCTATGCATAGCCCAAAAGCACAACTACTCAAAATTAATCAAACATAGGTACTCGAATTGGTGATACATAAAAGTGGAGAATTGAGCTGATAATATTCATAAACATTATTTTTATTAATGAATTGGATAAAGAAACACATAAACTTGATGTAACACAGTAGCTGCTCGGAAACTTAAAAACGAGTAATCAATCTTCGGCATAATTACAACTTCTACGCACGTACAAGAACACTTTCCAACTAATTACAGTGGTACCTCATCCAAGTTGAAATCTGCAGACGAGAACAGGTTCACGAGCTCCTTTTAACTCTCAGAAATCTTGTACAATTGTACAAAACCATGTATACACACAGAAAGAGGTGAACCGTATTCCACAATTGGCCTTCATTCATTGGAGAGAACTCCTCTCAGTTCATCTATCAGCCGATCCCGAACTGAAGGTTCCGTCTGCATTGTGCAACCAATCAAACTTTTAATTTCATTCCCNAAAAAAAAAAAAAAAAAAAATCAAGTCGAAACCATAATATATAGCAACATACCTTTTTCAGCAAACCAGCTAAGGCTTGCGGTAAGACCTGTAAATCCACGGATGAATTCCCAAGCTCGGACAACTGCGCCAACACTTTCTGCACGCGCAACTCTCTCAGCCTCTCCTCATAGTTTCCCATATCATTCATCCACGAAAAAAAAGCTTCGTCATTCATCCACGAGCTCTCATTCCTCCCCACACCATCCAAGCCCAAGAACCATCCCTTAATCAAGTCCCTTGCAGCCTTATACCCAACTCCATGTCCCCCAGCTTCCCTCACAGCCCTCACAAGCGAATCTTCCGCGACTCTCCTGTGCAGCCTCCGGTAGAAAAACGCTCTCGAGTGGGCCCACTCCACAACTCTCTTAATCACCCCTTTCGCAGCCATCCTCAGGGAAGTGTCGTGCAGCTCGGCAAATTTCGTCGCTATCTGAGTGTAGAGTGGGAGAAGCTTCTTCTCCCGGGCTTTTATCAAATCTTCTAGAACAAACCGTGACTCTCCAGCTTCCGCAAGCTTTGACTTTAGGCTGACGAGCTCTGGATCGAGCCTTCCCATGCATTCGAGCAATTCGCGGGTTCGGAATTTGATCTCGATCAGGCCCTCGGGCTCGAGGACGTTCCCTTTAGCCGTTTTTTCGGCATACATCTCGATGTGGTCGGGATTGATCTTGCTGTCGACGACAACCCAGGCCCCACCACGAAGCTCGCCTGTCATGGGTATGTATATGAAGACGGGCTGTTTGTAGGTTCGGAGATTCTCGACAATGGTGGAGCCAGCTTGGAGGATGCCTTCGAAGAGGTCCCTCTGCCCGCCAGAGAAGCCTCGCCAGTTGGCAATGATGAAGAGAGGGAGCTCTTCACGGTTGAAGTCCATCAGTGCCTGGGCTGTCTTGGTTGCTGAATCGGGAAACCACACCTGTCCTGCCTGTGGGACCACCCTCTCGTGGGAATCTAGCTGACCGGGGTCTGCTGGGATTACCTGAAGATATAAGTTGTGTCGGCCACGTGATGAAGAGAATTCGAGCAAACAGAGGAAAATGACGATCAATTTTTCCATTTTTTTTTTTTTTGTTGTAGTTTGCTCTAAGGTTTCTAATTTCAGGTTTTTAGTTATTATATTTTTCTTAGGGTTTTTCTAACATTTATGAATTAATAGAATTTTGGTTTAGAAGTTTTCAGGTTGTCTTTCATGTTTCATATTCATGTTTCATATTCATGTTTCACTTTTTAGGCTTCTTAGGGTATGTTTGTATATCAAATATTTCATTCCAAACTCAAGTGATACTTAAAATCTAACTCAACTCTAACTCAAACTCACTATCCTCAATGTTATTAATATAATTAAATAATATCAACCAATCATTCTTACACATCACATCAACTTTAATTTACTATTCACCCACTCACGTAATTTTAACCAACTTATTATTTGATAATTTACTATTCACCCACTCACATAATTTTAACCAACTTATCATTTGATATAATATCTCTCACACTTTTACATCAAATCAATTTTAATTATTTTATTTTAATATAAAATTAATATCCCACTAACAACTAACCATACCACTTTTTTCAAAATTAACTTTGGTTGATAAAAAAAAGGATATATTTGTATACAAACACGCCCTTAATTCATATTTATTCTTTACATTTCTAATTCATTTTGTATTTCTTTTTGTACTTTACGTATGTAGTTTTTATTTCATAATTCAGTTTTAACGCGTTAATAAAACCTGTTGACAAGAACGTGACGTGTACCTGCATCATCGTCTGAGTCTCCACAGCAACAACCCCAACAGGTATCCCTCCAAGCTTCGCCCGACCCGTGACAACCGTCCTCGCCCACCCTTCCAAAGTCTCAACAAAACTCTCTCGGTCGAAAATACCCCCAGCCCACTTCCCATTGCCGTCAACATTCCCACATATAGCCGCACGCGGATCACACGACGTGTCCGGCAAATACTCAACTATCCTATCAGGAGGATCCAACGGGCTCACGACAGGAAGCGGGCCCCCGCAATACGGAGGAACAAAGCTCAACCACTTCAAAATAGCCGATACGCCCTCGAGATCATCCGAGACCGTGAGATGAACGACTCCGTTCGTGGCCATGATTTTGGGCCCACCTAACTGCATGTGGGAGCTGTAAACCTCGCGGCCCAGAAGCTTGTTCAAGGCCGAGAAGCCCGTCAGAATAATCGGCTGGTCGAGTCTCTGTATACACCGCATTCCGAGACGCGCGAGATAAGCACCGATTCCGACAGTTCTCCCAGTCACATATGTTACGGTAAAAGTCTCGTTATACGCCTTTGAGTACGCGCTTGCAATTGCTCCACTGCCAGTTAAGTTTTCAACTCCTAAACCGTCTTCCTTGCCAACAATCGTATCGATTACCCATCTGATTTCTCCATTAGGGAGTTTAAGCTCGTGCGCTATCACAGAAGTCTTGATGCGCGAATAATCTTCGGGAGTTAAGTAAACGTATTGGAAACCGCGCTCGGGGTTCGTTTCGTCTGACCAGCCGACTCTGAAGCAGGATTTCACTTCCTCGGCCACGCCAATACGGGCTCCGGAATTGGCTGCTAGATAGATGAGAGGTATTTTCTGGGAGCAAGCAATGTCGGTCACCGCTTGAAAGAAAGCATCTTCTTTCGGACCAAATGAACCGTTTTTGAAAGTCACGTCGTTTGACACGATTAATATAGTTCTTCCGGAAGGGAATTCGGGTGTGGACATCTCCATGCGCCAGGCTACCATGCCAACGTCGTTAAGCCCTGGCTGACGATTAATGGGAACAAGAGGAGTGCCCCAACTTCCTTTCTTGTCGGCAAAAGTCAACTCAGTGACGTTGACTAATGGTTTATCTTTTGGTTTGTTGATATTGGGATTCTCCGCCCACGATTTGATCAGAGCTGCGTTGAAAGCCTGTATAGGGAGGACACTCTTTTGAGATAATATGCATCTCATTTCAATTATTGATTACAAAAAATCAAAGGTTAGATACTCGTACCAGAGGGAAGTCATAGCAATAAGTCGTGCTGCTTTTTCGGGCTACAAGGCGTTTCTGGTCAAGAACTCCCAAAGGCTTATACTGTGCACTTACAGGCAATCCATGCAAAGGAGCCTGTCCAGAAGTGGAATGGTACATTATCTCTTTGCTGGAGTCCTCAACTTCTCTGTAAACCTGAAAGTTTAAATAAATAAATAAAAAATGTATTAAAAAATTTCTAATCAGTGTTTATTATAGACCTTGCCCTTCATTGGCTCCAAACACATGGGCTGCATAATGTAGGATAAAAATGGAAAACCAGCTTGCACACATTTAAGAAAAAATAATAAAGCTGTTCAAGAAAATCCCTTAATCATAATCTGATAGTCAGTTCAAATGTTTTGTTATTGTCTATGAAGTGAATTTCCAAGAGGAAAGCACATATGTGCCACAAATCATGGGCCATGTAAACCTGCGCCAAACTGACATGAGATATAGATGTGATGCATGGGCCTTCCCAACTTACATGCACGATGCAGGTGTGACCAGTTACATTTGTGACCACAACTCTCCAAGCCCCATTAGCATCTCCTTCAGATGATATCCAAAGCTTAATTTCCCACTCACAAACTCCTAAACGATGCATTTTGACACCAGCAGATGCATTAACTTCTTGTGCCATGGCGTCCAGAATTTTCTCAACTGCAGCTTCTTCATTGCCATGAGGAATGTCAACTCTTCTGAAAGTGATTTTCAAAACTTTTGTCAACATTAGACTTATAATATCAGAACTCTACGCACGAAAGTAAAAGGAAAATATCTTTACTTGTGATATGGCAAGAGGTCATCTATTTGCTGCTCTCGCAAGACATAAAGGTACATATGAGCATGGTCAAATTTAATAGCAGAATTATGAGCATTGAGTTCAAGTTCCTCCATTGCAGATGTTAAGGACCTCAAGATGCTTCTTGAAGTGAAGGACAGAGACCAGAAAGATTGATTCACTCCTTGATCTAGAACAGCGAGACCTTCATTTGACAAAGGCTGCCTCACGAGTGTTCTGAGGAACATCCTCTGGATGGGAAGTGGCTTGTCAACAACTGTGTAGAGGTGCCACTGACGATCCCTAGAAGGAGTGTACCGTATATTCTCATATTTTTTTAGTTTGTCCTGTACACAGAAAGTTTTTGGGATATGATAAGGTAAATTAAATTTTGGATAATATAATTTTTTTTCTTTATGCCAAAAGGACCAGTGTTGACAAACCAGCTCAAGGTATATTGATAGAGGTGGCTCCAAGTGACGCAATAGAGGTTCCTCCTCATAATAGAGCTTTCCTTCTGACCAATGGAAGGAATGCCTCATCGGCCCCCGTCCTTCATCTCTCTGAATAATACAGCTGACAACCTCAACTCCAGCATTTTTAAGGCTCGAACTTATTTCTTTCTCCTTCAATATTTTGGCCAACTTGTTGATTCTCTCTTGAGCCTGATCCTCATCACCACTGCAGTAATAACAGGAAAGAAACCCACCAAGCGTCACGTGAGACGAATCATAAACTATACAAACATATTAGTAAATACCAACACTTTGAGATAAGAGATGCAAAGAAACGTCCAATTCATGGTCTAGGAAACGGCTATATATCCTCTAGTGCCATTTAAATTGACCTTACACTTATAATCATTTAAGCAGTAGATCTTCTATCCAAATTGAACTTCTAAATCAGAAAGGTAGGTTTATTGATCTGATGAAAGTTCACACTTCATAGATCAAAACTTCAAATTACATAAGGAGAGTCTAAGAAATGCAATAAATGCTATGTCATGTCAATCCCATCCCAAAGAAAGCACATGCCAGTTTAGACTCTAGCGCATTACACTTCTATCATGATACGAATGTTCTACTTTTAATTCGTACACATAATCAGAGAGACAAGTGGATAGTCTATGATAAGCAGGTTACCTGTCCTGAAGCAGACTCATCTGGTTGTTGATACCAGCCAAAGCAATGTGCATCATGTGACCACAAGCAGTTGGATACATGGATCCATTTGATATTGTAGCTTGAAGGTTATGTGTTGCTTCCTTCAAAGCAGCAGTTACTGCAGTAGGCAACAAAGTGAGTGATTTGATGACAACCATTGCTCCCCACCTCCTCGCACTCTGCTTTTCAAATGGTGATTCATTCGAAATCTCAACTTCAGATCCACACTTTCTATCTATATGCTCGTCCATAAACTCCCATGATGCTATAAGTCCAGATCTGTGCCACTGCATCCTGACACTCCCCTTTACGAGGTACGGCTGATGACAGATATCAATCATTAGAATGAAAATTCCACAACTTGTAGGCACATTATAGTCAATACTAAATACCTTGAATAATATTACTTGTAGAGACATAATTTTCAAGACAATGAATAATAGTACCTGGTATAGCCTGCGCACATATGTCTCAACAACTCTTCTTTGAAGTGTGTGATCACCATGGTCAAAAAGACCAACGAGTGCATCTTCAACTGCTAGGGGAGCATTCACAAGAGCTTCCATTCGTTCATTTATAGCACTCTTCCGCTTGGGTGTATCCATGCTTTCACCTTCTTCAGTGAACATTTCCAACTCCGAAAGACTTCTTGCAATACTGGAACGAAGCTCACTAAGTTTTGTCTGCTCTAGGAGTTGGCTTGCTTTCAATGCTAACTGCACAAGAGAGTGAGGATGACCAACATGTGATCAGAGAGAGTACATAAGCAAACACTTCACGTTAAGAGACCAAATGAAATTGAACATTGAGGACGAAATCATCATGACAACTTATAATTGACCCAATATCAAACACAGAACACTCACAAGAAGACATGTGTTCATGAAAAAAATAAATGAGTGGAACGACAAACCTCGGAGTAGTTCGTATGGTTGAGTGTAGAAAAGCGGATTAGTTGATCACGGTATGCAGCAGGATTAGGATACACAAGTTGTTCCAGGAGGCGTAGTATCAGTTTATTTTTGCTCCTAATTCCCTAAATAGTAAGAATTATTTTAACAAAAACTTCATTAGGACATAATAATTAAAGCAGTCCTTGAGCACATTATTAAATTGGCTATACCTGATGGGAAAGTACAATGTCCACAATTTTGAGAAGATCTTTCTTATATTGAAGTCTTAAGCGCTCAATCACATCAGCCTAAAAAGGAGATCACACATCAATTTCATTTCCAGAAGTGAACAGAACTCAAAGAGCATTTTATAATCTCTTGCATGTTACCTGTATATTGTCACTAAATAATTCTTCTACTGACAAATACTCTTCGAAAAGACCCTGAACTATGATGCGGGCATGGCTTTCCCTACCACGCTCATAGGATTTGACAAGACTCATCAGAGGCTCAACCAGTCGCTCTTGAGCTCCTTTTTCTTTCTCAGAATAGGAGTTTAGATGGGCCTGAAGCAGCAAACGTAATCGTTAGTGATCTATAAACTCTAATTGTAAAGAAGAAAATAATAATAGGAAACAGATCAAAATAGGGGGAAAACAAAAAAGGCCAAAGATAATGCTATAAACCATGAGAAACAACCATACCTCAAGAACACCACGTAAAACTTTGGCAGGGAAGTCAACGTTTTGAGAGCTCTCAATTCCCTCAAACTCCCTGTATCTTGTTTCCAACTGAAAGTTTGCAATGAGAAACAATTGTAGGAAAAAGCCAAAATAAAAAAGGTACAAAGAAATTGAACAAAAAGCTAATATTCGTCTTAAATGGTATGTGATTTAACAACCTCACATCTAAGATCCTTTGGTAGTCTGTTGGCCAGAACAGCAAAGCATTCTTGCCACTGAAGGAAAGGGAGCTCTGGATTGTCCAAGCAACTGAGTAAGTTTTGAACAACCTGAAATGAAAAACTCAGTTGATTTAATAAGACGCTCAGGTTTAGCAAATGCAATAACTTTAAGAATTTCATACACACATGGCAAAACAATCACTTATTAGAAAGCATGAACTCTTCCAGCATCAATAAATTCTCTTCTGCAAAAGGTAATAGAGCCAGAGGACTTTACTTCATCAATGTTATGCTCATATCCAGCAAGAATCATTCGAGCCGCATTTAAACTTGCAGCACATCTTTGATGAACTTTTCCAGATATGGCAGTTGGAGGTCCTAAAATGGGGAAGCTACCATGGAAAGGTTCTGCCTTCCGTACAGCAGAGGGATCATCTAGATCAAGTCTTGCTATAAGCTCTCCGGCCTACAAATTACTTGCCACTTTAGTAATTTAGTGGAAGAGCAGAGTAATTGGTCCAACTGAAACAACATTTACCTGCATTGCTTGACCTTCTGCCATCTGAAAATGAATTTTTCCAGAGGCAGGTGAAAGAAGGGGCATGCACATCTTCATAACCTCGACTTCTGCATAGGGCATGTCAGCATCGACATGGCTGCCATCTGCAACCAGGTACCTTAGTAGCTTGCATGGTGTCTCTGCAACCAGCTTGGATGGATCATGATCGTTCTGAACACAAGGTTACCTAATCAAATCTCCATATATACAGAGGGCTTAAGTGATATACCATTGAATTGGAATAAGTTGAACCTGAAGTAAGCAAGTCCTCCCATCAATAAGAAGACGTGTTCCAGCTGCTTCCTCTTCTGCATATATAACATGACTGTTCCCGTCCAGCTGCAGCAACCAGAATAACCAATCTCCAGATTTAATAGGTGATAAATTTGATTAACTGATAGAAAAAAATAATTCTAGACATAAACCATAAGATGAGAACACCAAAGTATCAGGATCTTATTGGGATTCCTAGAGTGGTTAACTGCTTGCCTGCATTAGTAGTCCTCCATCACGTAGAGTGTGTATTTCAGCTTCAACCTCTGAATCGTTCATCCTCAATTTATAGCTTCCAGGACCTCCTCTTACCATATTTATCTATAAAAGATAAAATAATTTAAAAAATTAAAACTAAAGAAACAACCTTCTCCTACTAAATTATCTAGAGGAAATTCACTGCTCCTGGTTCTCAACATATATATATGTAAAGACAGCACTCAGCTCTAACCATAGTATTTCTAAAATGTTTACACCTTTTGTTCCTATTCAATAAAATGTCTGCACTTACTGTGTACTTGCTTCCTTCAATGTTCAGTGAAACCTGAGAATTCACCAGCGAAATATGCTGCACAGGAGATATGTCAATAATTTAATGTGACTGCAAATATAAAACTTAACTAAAAAGATACGCAAGATAAAGTACCTTTGGGGGAATTTGTCCTTTTTCAAGATAACCAACATACTCCGAAACCGTGGCAGCACTACTAGCAGCAGCTTTCTGATGTGAAAATATAAAGACAAAATATTAGTGTTAATGATTACATGTATATAACATAAAAGGTATGCATTGAGCAATTACAAAGAATTATTTCAAGTGCGAAAAGACTAAGAGCATATGCTTACATAAAGAGCTCCTCCAACCACTGAAAGATACCAAGGGGGCCTTTCTGCTCTCACTCTCATTGCAATTCTGCTATCCAGCCATCCTGTGTGGATTTTGTTTTCCTTGTAATCTAAAGCCTAAATATTCATATGAAAAATATAAAGCTCTTTCACAAATATTACATCCTAAAAAAATTTGAATGGAACTTGATATCTGAGATGCTCACATGTAAGAGATCAATGGTGTAATCGACATTTGTACGAATTTCGCCTCTAATTTGGATCTCTTTAAGGCCAAGTACCATATTAGCGATGGCCAAAGGTCGGGATTCTCCAAAAGCAAAGACATGGCCTGAGATAAAAAGAATAAAATAAAGAATACACGGTGAATCCCAAACTACGAAAAACGCATCCAACACTGGTAAACACCACAGCTGAAACATACACGTGCATACCCATCTTCATATTAATAGAACAAGTATAGGGGGTTGCTCGGAACCATACAAGGAATGACAACTGTCTCTTATTACTTAATGAATCTTATGTTGAGCCATGTTAATTTGATATGATTAAGAAAATTCCAGCTCAGATTACTAGGATTTAAAATCATTATATATGTATGTGTGTGTGTGTGTATGCGTGTGTGAATAAACAAGTAAATGGACCAACTTATGGAGTAAAATATCGACCATGCAAATATGCACAAAATTAAATTTATGATATATTTTGATGTTCTCGTTTCTGTTTTTTAAGATAGCTGAGAAATATTGACCAATTACAAACCATGAGAGACGCTCTAGATAAATAATCTTTGTTGATAAAACGGATAGAACATATATAACTAAAGATTAATCTTCAAAAAGACCTGAAATTCTCTTCAGGTAAGATTTTCTGAATATAGGTTCAGAATTAGCCTTAAACATTTGTTGCAGGCTTGTCATCCACAAATTAAAGGTCTTGAGTAACAACACAAAAAAGACTAATCTCATCCACACGTCCACATTAGAAGGGAAGCACACGCTGGGAGTAGAGCTAGAGGTCATGACATATATACACGACTATATTATATAACTCGTCAGACACCACCAATTGGATAACAAATTTGTAAAAAGGCCTCAACACACTTCCAAACTTACCAAATTGGGAATCTGAAAATTCATGAATACCACCTCCAGACTGCAAGATTAAGATGTTAGTCAGAAGCAGCTTCAATTTTTTTAAATGTTTATTCAGAAAAAAAGTATGGATAAGTACCTTGACAGAAAAGTATGCCCACACATTAGGCTTACTTTTGAAACTGAGCTCCTGTTCGGAGTCATTTGAGTTAGAAAGCAATCCAAATGACTGCAAATAATGCAGAAATCAAACTTTTCAGTCTAAAAATTTTGACCTGTACTCTTCCACTTGTTGGTTTAAAACCATCATCAGGGTCTTCACTTGTCACACGAACTGCTACACAATGCCCTTTCGGCCTCGTTGACTCTGCCTTATCAAAATCAAATGGAGTAGCAAGACAAGATGTTTTCCTCCAAGCATCATATCCTCCACCATATTCCATTCCATAAAATCGACGTATCTCTGATAAAGTCAGCACCCAGAAATATCCATTAACATCCACATTTGCAAAAGAAGGTTCAGATAATAGAAATTCTTAAACAGACCTGGGATTTGCCACAGAGGGATACCCATCCCAACTGCAACTTGTGCTGAAGGAATATTTATCTCAGCAATCCACTCAGTGACAGGATGCTCCACCTAAAAAGAAAACTTTGGTTTACTTAGCCCAATAAACATCACATGAGTTCTAGACTTCTATTTGATGTCAGTGTTAAATCAAAAACCTGCAACCGTGGATTTAGCTCCAGAAAGTAATATTCCCCAGTTTCCATACTGTACAAATACTCCACTGTTGCAGCTCCAACATAATTTACGCTTTTAGCCAACCTTCTAGCAGCCTGCTCAAGTTTCTTTATTGTCTCGAGGGGGGCAACTGTAATTGGACCCTCTTCTATAATCTGATTGATGATGAATACACGGGAATATTACATTAGAGGAATCAATGGGTAAATGAAAGAGGAAAACAAAAAACGTAAAAGAATGATGATGCGAGTTATATCACGCAACTGTAAATAGGGCCATACTATACAATGTATACTAAATTTAATATCACAAGGACAAGCCCTGAAGAAACTACCTTTTGGTGTCTCCTTTGAACACTACAGTCACGGCTGTGCAGAGCTGCCACATTTCCGTATTGATCACACAGCAGCTGGACCTCAAGATGTCGGCTCTGGAGGAAAATGATAAATAATAAATAGATAAAATAAAATAACAGTCTAGGTATCGGAATAAGATCCCAGGTTACTCTAAATTACAAGAGATTATGAGCTCTAACCTGGGAAGCAACCTTCATTATAAATATGGGAGAGCCAGGAACTTCACCCTGGACTTGCTTGAACAAAGCTTTAACCTCATCGTCATTGTGGACCTGAATGCCCGCACCAGAAGAACACCAAATTTGATGAACATAAAAACTAAAGTCACTAATTTGCCACTCACTTGACACGGAGAATACCGGTTTTCTAACAGGACCTAGAGAGAAGGGTAATGCAGAGAATAAGTTACATAATTTGGCTTACAGTCAAACCTTTCTTATGCCTTTGCCACCTCCACCCCAAGATGCTTTAATCATCGCGGGATAACCGACAACTTGGCAGCTGGAAATGGCTTCTTCTGTTGTATGTACACACGCTTCCTGATAAATGGCTTCTGGGATAGTTACCAAACAGCTATCGGCAGGAATTTTCACCTAAAAGATGGCATATGTATTAGATTTAGAATATCATAAAATCTAAAAATTCACAGCCATATACACATTACATGAGAGCCACTCCATGGAAGTGTTGGTACGTCTGCAGCTTGAGCAATTAACGATGACCCAATTTTATCTCCCAATGCTGCCATTGATGAAGCTGGAGGCCCAAGAAATATGATGCCTTTTGCACTTAAAGCATCAGGTAGCTCTGGATTCTCAGATGCATGACCCCAGCCAGGCCAAACAGCATCAACATGCGTTATCTCAGCCATCTGGACCACAAAAATAATATCTTTTTCACTTTATTACCAATTCGTCATGAAATTACCAAATTCCCAACATTCATCTCCCTTTTCTACACCTATCCCTCTCCACGTCACATATGTAGGGTAGTCTAGGTGTTTGCATTTACATAAAGACGTCATTCAGCTACACAGACAGGGAACAAGTGGAAAGGGCAAAAGTTTATCATGTAGAGCTCCTTAATTTAGTGCCACATTACCTTCCACATCAAGCTTTCGCCACTTTTATTGGAACATTTATTGTGTAACATTAAATTTATCAAATGTGATCCTACATTATGGTATTCAATGATGCGATAAACTTACATTTTACACAAAACAAATCACTGAAGGTATGTGCAATACTACATTCAGTTACCTCGACAATGAGCTGCACATTTGCATAGTTATTATTGTTAGTCCCTCCAGGAACTTCTACAAATTTATCAGCTATCCTGATATGTTCAGCATTTATCCTCATGTCCTCTGGAGTAGCCATCGCCACCAACAATATTGCCTTATCTGAACCAAATGTTTCATAAGCCCAGGTTCTAATGCTACGTATAAATTTAACAGCTGCCATTCCATTGTTGGCAATCAAAATACTATGAATTGGCCTCTTCCCCCCAAGTGCATAACAGAACTCATCCACCTCAGCTACCATTGTTGGAGACCTTGATGGAATAGCGCCATTTACATAGCCATTAGTTGGCTTGGCATTGACTGTTACCAGTCTCCTTTGGGCTTCTGACATTCTGTAGTGTCTGAAAAACAAAATTAATTCCACAGGAAAAATATCAAATTTCAAAATGCTCAAACCATTTTCCAACTCGGTGTAAAGGTGAAGGCGGCTTGTACTTGATGAAACTATCTATAATTACCATTGGAACCTCTAAATTTTTAATTATAAAAAAGAAAACAAAAGTTATAGAAAAAAAACTGAGTCATCATTTTAGATTGAACTTAGCAATTAAAAACAAAAATCAAGATATATACACATATGTATATATGTAATCAAAAGATAGTTCATTTATGCTATACCCAAGAAAGCAATGGTACAAAATACCATACTTGAGCACAAAGCAGAATAATTCAATCAACAATGATTACATAAACCCAGAGCTACTAAACAGACTCGATGACCTATCAAATTACAGCATATAATACATAATAACAGCCACACTAACTTAAATCTCAATCCATAAACAGATGTATGCGAAAGAGCTAATAGAAAATAACAACTTCATGATGATCACTGCTGACACCGATCAGCAATCACCAGAAACACATAGAGCAAGCGAAGTCACATACATCAAATGAAACAAAACACCTCAAACAACTAAAAGAATTAAAAAATACAGCATTTTCAACTTTTCAACGATCATTTTCAGTTGATTTCCGCCAAAAACTCAAATCACAACAGAACCAATTCACTTCAGCCAAAATTGCAGCCATAAAACATCCATATGAGAACCAAAAACAAAGAATAAAACGAAATCACAGCAGTAGATATCAAGGGTTGACCTTCACAGAAGGAGACCAGAAGTGAGAAAATGCTGAAAAAAAAAAAAAAGTTATCAATCTCTTCTTCTCAACCCAATTGGCTTCCTCAAACGCATTATACGAGGTCAAGAAGATGATCCAACGAAATGCAAGCATGCAAATCTGGAGGGCGGCACCGAGCTTTTTCTGCAGAATTTGAGCAGGAGCGAAGTAGATATGAAGGGGTGTGACAGTGCTGCGTAAATTGTTGGTTGGGGGTTTGGTTGGGAATTTGAAGGAGTTGGGGTGCGTTAATAAATACACCTACTTTGAGGGGCCTCTTCTAATTAAAGGCAGCACGTGGGACCCGCCCGGTGCTGCGTTGGAGCATTTCCATTCACAACCTCCATCTACTTCTCTACACATAGATAGACAAACGGGTTTGAACTTTGAATAAAAATGTGAGGAAATTGAGTGAAAATGGTGTACTATTGGTATGAGGGAATGACATGGAAATGAAATAATTATTCTTTTACTCATTTCTTATTTTATGATTCGTATATTTTTTGAAAAGAATGATCATTCCAATAGAAATTATAAAACTCATGTCAATAGGATTAGTCATTCCTCATCTAATGCAAGGTTTTCTCATTAACCCCCAAAATTTTAAATTTTTAGTGTGTATATATATATATATGTATTTATATATCATTTTGTAAATAAACACACACGGTTATATTAAAATATAATTTATTTTTTTCTCTACTAATAATTCAACTACAATTATACTCTTTTTATACTTCTATATAAAACTTTTTCTAGTTTAAATAAATTGAATGTACGAAAAATACGTAAAAACATAAAAATAAGTAAATTTTAAAAAAAATAAGACCATATAAAATATGTCTAATGAAAATAATAATTATCAAAACTATTAATATTGAGTGACTCGTTGATGAAATTCATGAGTTGAAAGAACATTCAATCGAAATTTGTTACTGCCAATGTTTGGAACTTATATAATTTTTATTGCATTGTTATTGTTATTATATAATTATTTCAAAATACAACTTTTAATTTATATTGTATTGTTATTATTATATATTTATTTTATAATACATCATCCTATTTTTATGTGCATTAACTTAAATGTATGATTTTAAGAATATATTGTCCCTCTAAAAAAATTTCTGGATCCGCCCCTGATGAATTCAGGGCCAATATATTTTTAATAATCATACATTTAATTTAATGGAATGAATTGAAGAATGGAATGATTATGGGAATGGAATGAAAAATGTTTTGTCATTTATACGTTTGGTATGCAGAAGAAATAAGACTGGAATGGATGACATTATCATTTTTTATTATAAAAATAAATAAAAGCTTTTTTTTAAAATAATATAATTTTAATAAATTATATATAAATGCTTTTTTAATAGTATATAAAAATAAAATAATATATTTTTAATAATATATAAAAATAAAATAATATATTTTTTAATAATATAAAAAATAATATATTTTTAATAAAATATAAAAATAAATTAATATATTTTTAATAATATAAAAAATAATATATTTTAATAATATATAAAAGTAAAATAATATATTTTTAAATTATATATAAAAGATAATATATTTTTAAATTATATATAAAAAGTAATATATTCTTAAAATTAATATATTTTTAATAATATATATTTTTTATATTTTTAAATAATATATTTTTAATAATATGTTATTTGAAATTTATTTTTTAAAATAATTTTATTTAATATATTGTAATCATGATTTATAATATATAATATATAATTATTTTTTATTATTATTTATTAATTTTATTTTTTAAAAAATTGATTCCTACACACATGAGAATGAGAAAACTTTACATTTACTATGGAATGGCTAATCGCATGGAGATGGGTTTTGCCATTTCCATTGGAATGATCATTCCTTCCCAAAAAATATACCAATCATGGAATAAGAAATGAGTAAAGGAATGATTATTCCATTCTCATGTCATTCCTTCTTACCAATCATGTCATTAATCTTACAAAGTTAGTGATACGTATTAATTTGTTGGTAATAACAAAATGACTGGCCTTGTATCAGGTTTAGGTATGATCACATACACAGGTAAATGATTTTTTTTTTCCAACTATAGATGAACACAGTTAAATGATCTAATCTTTTCTTTTTATGAAAAATTGTATTCAAACTTTTCTTCTTTTAATTCTAGATGAAAAGGATGTTTGCACGAAAGCATATTCTCTAGGCAAAGGTTCTAGTTTTTCGCCCTCACTCACGTGTACAAATTAATAAGTTGAGAACAAACTTACGTGTGGCTACGGAGCGTTAGGTGGTGTAGTCCACCAGCACCAACTATTCTAATTTAATTAGTTGCCCATTATGTTTATCTAAAGTCCCAAGTTACAAAATAATTGACCTACTCACCATTGATCCATCTTTTAAATATTTATGATATTATTAATAACTAATTAGTTAGCATTATGATGTAGATGCATGTTAATAGTTTTATTCTCTTATGAGGACAAAAAGTAAAGTAAACAAAACAAATTTGAGAGAGAGGTCATGGCCAATTACAACATTCATAATACTTTAAGTTTAATTTTGCTTACGCGATATATAAATGAATTCAAGTCTTAAATAATATGAATAAAAGTAATAATAATATTAAAAATAATTTTAATGCAAAGAGATCGGGTATCAATTTGTGTCTAAATTTGACTTGAGAATAATATGTGTCTCTTTTTTTTTCTTATTGTCATCAGTTGTACTCATTTCACTTTCACTTTCATTGGACAACACATCTTTCTAAACTAGGTCTATTTCTACGTAGCATGTAATTTTTTTAATAGAACCCAATTAAATATTGTGTATGCTCTTATATGTAGGTGAATGGAACAATATAAATTTTGAAATAGTTAGATGGTCGAGTGCCATATAAGGAAATTTCCTCCAACGTAGCTTCAGAAAATCACGCCAAAATGGATTAATGAAGAGTGTTGCGGTATATATTCGACGCAACACCATAGCCAATGCTGGCTTTTTTAGGAAGTTTAATTTATTTACAAAAATCATAAAATAATATATTTATATTAAATTAGTATAAAATAAATCAAAATGCTAGAACAATACTTTTCTTGCCTAATTTTATCTCAAACTAACAAACTCTCACCAAAATGTTCATTGTGCAAAATAATATGTGTATTTAAATTATATGTTGACATTAAAAACAATTCAAAATAATGTGAATAAAATTTGAATATTATGTTTAGAGTAAAATATAGTACCAACAGTTGAAAAACAAACTTGATCTTTGGCCCACTCTATTTTAAAATAGAGAAAATAGTGTAGACGAGTAAAGATAGGGGTTGGATAAACATTAATGTTTAAATGTTGCATGGATGTTCAGTTATGGTTGGAAATTAGGAACAGCCATGCATCTATCACCTGTCCAATATCATATTTAATTTTTATTAATTCTCATTTTATGTTCTTATCCTAACAGTATATTATTTGAAAAATATTGCAGAGGTCACTATTCCTTTAATTAAACTACTTTCGAAGTTTCAAATATGTGTGTGCCAAATTTCACCTAGCTACTCTCTATAATATATTCAAAGTTAGTTGTTTTTCATTAATGTACCATATTATGTATGTTTAGAATAATACAGCCAGCATGTTTCTGGAACATAATTTTCAGTGTCCATGTGAGATGACTTGATATATATGCCTGTCTATTCATTTCAAATGCTTGCTTAAAGGACAAAAAGAATCATTTAGTTAGGGGGATGTATTCAATTCGGAATTTAAGTGACATTTTAAAACTTTTCGAAATTTGAGACATTCTAGGATTTTCAGATTTTGGAAGAATTCTATGAAATCTCAAGTCCGGAGGTAGGATTTGAAGTGAGATTTCATATAAGGTTTTTTGTTTAGAAATCCCACAAAATCTTAAAAAGTCTTAATAAATCCTAGTGTCAAAAAAATTAAATACCTCAGGATTTTGTAAGACTTTTGAAAATCCCAATTGAATACCCCAGAATTTTTAAAAGTTTTAAAAAGTCTTAACAAAACTAAATTGAATACACCAGGATTTCTAAAGTCTTAAAAAGTCCTTAGAAATCCTAATTAAATACACCCCCTTAATAAATACGAAAGCTAATTTTGCCCACCGGTGCATAATCGTTCGAGAGATTTTACAAATTAAAGGCTATTCAACAATAGATGTTATCATACACAAGAGAGTGGTGAAAGTATAAAATGTTCGAGATAAAATGAAGTTATATATTGAAAATCTCCTTATACAAAACGTTATTAATTTAATTTTTAGACAACTCGTCATCCCACAAAACTAATATTTTCAACTACTTTCTATTAGCTACACGAGAAACAACAACATATAAAATTGCATTTTCCCCAAACTTACATCCAAGCTTAAATAAAATCTTCGTAATTTATCAGAGTTTAACACAGTATGACTTAAACAAAAATAGTTAAAACAACATGTCCTTTCATTTTTCATTATTCCAAAACATCAAAACATGAACTCGTCTCATCTCCTTTTCTTTCTCTACAGGCAGCTTTCTTACTAAGTTACTGATTTTGTATATTTTCACGTATTCAAAACACAACCTTAACAGCATATACTTTGTCCTCCACCATTAACCTCCTATATCCCCTTTCTATAACCATCTCACCATCTTCATTAGCAGTTGCAAGATGCAAGCACGGATTTAACACGAATTCCACTTCCATTCTTTCTCCCGCATTCAGGCTCACGCTCTCGAACCCCGCCAGCTGTCTCTCAGGTCTGCCACCAATACTCCCCTCAGTCTCAGCCTCATGCGCAACGAAAAGCAAAACCGGATGTTTTCCGTACATATTCCCGGTATTCTCCACTCCCAAACGAGCCGAAAACTTCATACTTTCACACGCATCCTCCCCAATTTTCGAAACCGATAGATAATCGAGTGAACGTGAACTCTTGTCATCACCACCTGTCGCTTGAGAATTACGAGACGTTAGCCGGTTTAGGTTGATAGTGTTTGGAGTGGTAGCCAAGAACTTGTAGCTATAGTTCGTGTAGCTAAGTCCATAGCCAAAATCGAACACCGTTTTTCCCTTGTAAAACCGGTAAGTACGCCCTGGGTAACCCGTTGCTTGATCGGCCCTCATTCTCATGTCGGTCATCGGCACACTAACGAACTCTTTCGGATACCAATTCATCGGTAATTTCCCTCCTGCAATGCCAAAATGAATAAAACACATACAAAGGCTGTTATGTATGGTAAAACTAGCTGATAAACTAGCTTGTAGCTGATAAGTAATTTTCGAGGTTATAGCTTATTACTTATAGCTGATAGCTGATAAGTAATTTTCGAGTTCATAGCTTATGACTTATAGCTGAAAAGCTAGCTTATATGATAAAAGTGCTTGGTAAAATTAGCTGATAAGTTAGCTGAAATAAAAATTTCAAAAAGCTTGTTTGAAAAGTTACCCAAAGAAGCTTATGAGATAAACTCGAACTTTTCAACAAATCTCGTCCTACCAAACGAAACTTATTTAAATACAGGAAGCTTATTAGCTAATCAAATAAACTATAAGCTAGCTTATTTGTCTACCAAACATAGCCAAAGTATAAGCTTAAGGAGAGAGAGTCAATTCGAGCCTAATGCTGACCTGGATTGTGCTCGCCAAGTAAGATCTGCGCAATCGCGTCCCCACCAGCCTCGCCCGGGTACCCGGCCCAAATTATCGCCCCGATTTTCTCATCATCTTTCGCAAACCCAACATCGATAGGCCCACCACAAACCAAAACGAGCACAACGGGCTCGTTCGAAGCCTCTGCCACCGCACTCACGAGCATCTCCTGCTGACCTGGCAGCACGAGATCCACGCGATCCTCGTCCTCCTTCTCCTGACCATTATCCAAACCCATCACCAAAACCACACGGTCCGCCTTCTTCGCCACGTCAACCGCGCCCGCCACGTCAGCGTAGGTACATTTCACGCCATCATTACACCCACTGTGGTACAACACCTCTCCCGCGTAACCCTGCAACGCATGATAGATCTCCACGGATTTGCAAGGAGACCCCTCGTAATTCCCAAGAAGCACGTAGGCGTAGTTCGCGTTGGGGCCGATGACAGCTAGGCTATGAGTCCGGGACTTGTCGAAAGGGAGGAGATTTTTGGAGTTCTTTAGTAGAACAATGCCGTTTGTTGCGGCCTCGAGGGCGAGCTTTTGGTGCTCGTCCGAGCAAACTTGGTGGGGACCGATTTTGCCGAACCGGTGGCCTTTCGGGTCGCCGTTGAATAAACCGAGCCTCATACGGACCGCGAACAGGTTGTGGAGGGCTCGGTCGATTTGGGATTCGGAGAGCTTTTTTTGCTCGATTGCGGATTTCGTGTAGCGCTGAAGGTACGTGCCGCAGTCGATGTCCATGCCTGCAAATTTTTATTTTTTTTTTGACGAATTTTGAGATAAATTGAACTACATAAACGGTCACCTACTATATATGGAAATTTAAAATTGGTGATGAATTTGAGTTTCAAAGGATTTTGCGGCATACCTGCGTTGAGCACATCAGCAACTGCATCTTCAGGCAATTGTGCATAGTGATAACTATCGTGAATTAATGACACGGCGTCACAATCCGATGTAATGTACCTGTTACAAAAATGCACTTGATGAAAATTGAACATAATCATGGATTTAATTTCAGAATAAGCTAACAATTTCATTATTTTTCAGAACAGGGTACGTAAATAAATAATTAGACAAATTTATCCTTAATATCACCACCTTTTTCGAAATTACAATTTAATCACGACTTTTTCACTTTTGCGAATTATATCAAAATTTTCAGTTTGTTACACATTAGCTTTTCTATGACTGCTTTCTGACTGTTTGCAACAAACTAAAGATTGTGATATAATCTGTAAAAGTGAAAAAGTCATAATTAAATTGCAATTTCGATAAATGTCGTGATATTATAGTCAAATTGGCCTAAATAATTATTATATTTGATAATGAATTGTTATTTTAAAAAAGTGATTAGGATTAATGAAACAAATAAATAATAGAGCTACTATCTATATATTGTTGTTATATAAATTACGTACCCACGAAATCCCCATAGTTTGCGAGATGTATTGGTTAGAAGGTCGCGGTTAGCACAGTTTGGAACTCCATTGACTCGATTGTAAGCACACATAATCCCGCTTGCTCTTCCGTCTTTGATGCACTTCTCAAAGGGAGGCTGGTATGTGTCTGCCAAATCTTGATTCGTCACCTACATAAACCAAAATGTATTTTTAATTATTCTTGTTTTCTTTGCATAAATGTATGATATATACCAAGTCTATAGCATAGGTATTGTGCACTGCTACCACTATATTATATGCATGTTTAGGGAAAGAAAATTAATTGTTGTAGTGATCCTTCCTCTATCAACAAAGAGGAAAGTCTGTAAGGGGCAAAAATCCAATTTTGGTCCGCTAATTTATCCATTGTCTACTTTTGGTACACTATCTTTTCCCTCGTTAAATATGGTCCATTATGTTACACTTTTCATAAGTTTTAGTACGCTACTCCAATTGGCGGGATTACAAGATGAAGTGGACTGGGATTGGAACTACGTGGACGGATAAGATATTGACGTGGTAGGATAAAAACCTGATTTGGCATCTCGTAATCCCGGGCCACGGGATTAGTGTACTAAAACTGATGAAAAGTGTAACATAATGGACCATATTTGATGAGAGGAAAGATAGTGTACAAAAGTTGACAATGGACAAGTTAGCGGACTAAAATTTAATTTTTGCCGTCTCTGAGGCTATACATTATTATAAGTTATAGGAAAAAAAAAATAATATTGATGTAATTTAAAATTAATAAATTTTTTAAATTAATAATAATATATATTACAATATTTTTCAATTAAGTGGTGATTATAATATTTGATAGAAATTTTCAACTTTAACACAACTTATGTAGAAATCGACATAATATATTGTAATAAAGTATGATTAAAAGGAGAGACAGTGAGAGAGAGAGAGATTCTGTGAGTATAATTATTTATTCATAATGTTTGAATATGTTAAATTTCATTATGCTTAATTACATACAGGACCTCTGAAATGACAACTACTTAACGTGTGAAATAGACATATAAATCATATATTTATATCTATATCTTTATAAAAAAAGTTTGATTATTTTTTAAATAGTAACTATTTCCCGCCAAAAAAATCATATTTACTAATTTTAGAAATATATTATACAATTTATGGTATTGTGTTGGCAAATTAAATGTGCTTTTATTTGGTATACGGTGGCGTATAGTCATTTACGGCTATGTTGTAATAAAACGTATGTTTATGATTTATTTATGGTCATGTTGAAAAAGTTAATGAATCATCATTTATATGTATAATTGTTGGCAAACTTCAATAAATTTTATTCAGGCAACAATTAATAATAATATGAGTGCATTTAATAAAAATAGGTGTTCATCTATCATTATATAAAAAGAATAACTTTACAAATTTAGTCCTACATATAGTAATTATTGGGCAAATCTGAATAGGCAAAAAAATCGGTTCATTAATTGTGTAAAGATTTATATCTCTTTTTCCTATTTTTTAGTTTATCAAAACCGTTGTTTGACAACAAATACTTGTTTTTCTTTTTCCTATTATTAGTATAAATCTACACGAGCTTATCTGTTCTCTTACAAAATCTCATTGCATACGTCTCACGTGTTTAAAAAATCTCATCCCTTATCTATACAAATTTGAAAAAATAAAATAAAATAGAAACCAATTTATAATTACTACTAGAAATCCATTATCTTTAAAAAGAAAAAATAAAATAAAATAGACACCAATTCATAATTACTACTAGAAATCCATTATCTACTTTAAGAAGCTAATTTTGATCGGTCTAATTACTAATATTTTTACAAATATTATAAGCTAACCATAGAAAAATGTATAATAATAATTTTGAAGTGGTGCGTAATCAAATTTTTTTATATTCTCTTATACAAAATAATTTTATATTGATTGACCCCGAATCTTAAATTTATAATTATTAAGTATTGATTATCCTCATCTTTAATTTATAATTATTTTTTTCTTCCTCTTTTTAAATAGGATCAATAGTAGTTTCTACTTCCGTCATTGAGTGACTCAAACTCGAGGTCTATTTATAATATTGTTAATTTAATATTGCTCTCGTGCATCGCACGGGGTACACACTAGTTTAATACAAATATTTAATAAAATATGCAACTTTCAGTTACACAATTTATTTTGACAGGTCCCATTTTGGAAAGTGACCATTTCTGTAACGCTTTTTTATGTCCTGAAATACAAAATATTTTTGTTTTTATTTTGATACTATATATGTTCTGGTATTATAAAAATACATATTTCACAACTAATTAAGAATGACTACAAATACCTTTATTTTCTATTGCAGTCATATAAAAAAATATTTTTTTGGATATTACAAAGATACATTAAATATTTTGAAAAATCAAATCCAAGAGTCACGAGTCGAAAGGGTTTAACTATAATGATTTGTTCTGATGAGGATTCTGACAATAGGCAAACCACGAATGTTGTATATAAAAAAACGTTTAATAATATTTAGATTCACTTTTTCAAATAATTTTTTTTTCTCATTTATAGTTATGATTTTTATTTTATTCTAGAATTTTAATTACTTTCTCTTTTATTATATCACTTTTCGTGCAAATGCACGGGGTATAACTAGTTGATTTAAAGATTGATTTGGTAATCAGATTTAATAATATCATGTGATTCTTGAAAATATATGTGTGTGTGCTACGTGAACCTTTGAGTATTGGTTAGTTCTTTTTTTCTTATGAGTATTGATTAGTTAATGAATCTTCTTTTTGATAAAAATTGAGAGATTTATTTGATATTATATTTGATAAAACCGTCCAAAAGGTGTGTGTATTGCTTGAATATTGAAAACAATTGTGCGTGTTATTTTAGGAAATTAAATTTGCAATATTGAAACAGATTTTATTTGATATAGATAAAGATTTATATTCACCTGAAATAATAATTAAAATCCTGTAAAAAAATTAAATTTTACCTTTATTATTAACTTTTAAAACATTTTTGAAAAGTGACGGCCAATCATTTGAAATTCAAACTAAAAAATCAATATAATTAATGTACAGAATCATTTTGATCAAATATTGCAGTTATTACCTTTATTAGTTGCATAGTTTAAATTTGATATATAATATATTGATAAAACTTGCAGCTATTACATTTATTAGTTGCATGGTTTAAATTGATATATTATATATTGACAAAAAAAAAATTATTTAAAATTACAAATAAAAAAATAAGTGTTCATAACTTACAGGTTAATATTAACTTGGACGCAGATGAAATAGTCAATTATTTATAATTTGATAAATTACTCAACTACTTACATTTTTTGATTTGCATAGTTTATACAAAACAAATTCATTTTAATTAACAAAACAATATAAGTTTTATATTTATACTAATTATTCACATAGATTTTTAAATATATGATAAAATATTACCAAAATAATTATTTTATGAAATCACAAGTTAAATAAAATTTATGAATAAAAATTTTGAAATGACACTTATTTTGAAAAGAATATAATATAATTTATTATGAATTATGTGCACCGCCCGAGTTGTGTATTAATTTTAAATTGACATTTTTATGTAATTTTGTACAATTTAAATTTTATATGATATTTTCAATAAATCAATATAGGTAAATTGTATTACATATTGATTTCATATTTTTAATTTATAAATATTATTTAATAAAAAATTTTAATTTATAAATATTAATGAATATTTCTTACCCGTACATCGCACGGGATTCGTACTAGTTAAATTACTATATATCATAAAATAAAACAAAAAATAATATTAATATTTAAAATTAATTTTATACTAATCAATATTCCTTCATTGGTTTAATACATGCAATTTAGAATTATTAGCCCGTACATTGCACGAGCTACACAATTAAAAATTCTCTAAAATTAATACTAAAAGACGTTAACTGAACAGCGTGATTCACGGGATCAGATGTGACAAGACAGTAAACATTCAATTAGGGGTGTTCACGGTCCGATTTTAACCCAAAAAAACCGCCAATCTGGACCGCGAATCGGTTAAATGGTCAGTTAAAAAAGCCTTAAAAAATCCGGTGGTTAAGTTTTTTAAAAATCCGGAAAAACCGGTCCGGTTAACGGATTACTTGCGGCAAACTGCCGGTTTAACTAGACCGGACCAGTAAATATTATAAAACTATAGCAAATATATATATATATATATATATATATATATATATATATATACATTCAGTCATTCACTATGACCGACAAATACAATACATTCACTATGAATGCTTTGCTCTTATTATTTCAGGTGTATAAACTGACTGAAAAATTAATGCTTGCTTTGGTTCAGTTTGCATAATTTAATCTTCAACATTTTTGTATTTTTATGTTTATGGGACGAAATGTGTATTTTTATGCTTATGGGACAAATTGTGTATTTTTTATTTCATTATTTTTGTTTTTCTTAATTTTTAGGCCCAAATAATCTCCTTTGGGCTCAAAATTGAAAAATAAAAATTAAGCCCAAAATAAAAAATAAAAAATAAAAATTCAAAGCCCAAAACATGGATTTTGGATTTAACCGGTTAACCGCCAAACCGGACCGTCCAATGCGGTCCGGATTGTGGTCGGTTAAAAAATAAAACGGGTCCAGTTATGGACAATAAAAAAATTAATTGTTAGGTCCGATTTGGTCATGGTTTGGGCTAAAACCCGTGAACACCCCTACATTCAATATTGGGATATGTACCCCGAAATGTTTTCTGTAACGGACATGTGTAGCTTTCTCCCCAAATTATCTACTTTCGAAAGAATCTTATCATAAGTAATTGTAAAGATTTTAAAATTTAGAGGGTGTATTCAATTGAGATTTTAAGTGACATTTTAAGACTTTTTATGATTTGAGACTTTTTAAGATTTTCAAGTTTTGGAATAATTCTATGAAATCTGAAGTCTGGAGGTAGGATTTGAAGTGAGATTTTTTTTTTGTTTAGAAATTCCACCAAATCTTAAAAAGTCTTACCAAATTCCAGTGTCAAATAAATTTAGTACCTTAGGATTTTGTAAGACTTTTTAAAATCCCAATTGAATGTCCCTAGATTTTTAAAAGTCTCAATAAGTCTTAACAAATCTAAATTGAATACACCATATCTCTAAAATCTTAAAAAGTCTTTAGAAATCCTAGTTGAATACAAACTCTGCATAATTTACAATTCGCAGACCAATATGCAAAACAAAATTGGGTCACAATTGATGTGTAACATGCTCCAATAAAAGGTAAAATCTATATATATTGAAAGAAGGTGGTAAATAAATCATTTGTGGAAAGTTGATAAAAAACTTGGGTCAAATCCTTTGACTTACCACTTATAAAAAATCAGTTAAAATTCAAACTTTGCATTTGTTGTACAGTTCACGCATGTACATAAATCTGTTTTGGAAATAAATCGAGATTTCCTTATTTTATTGGCATACCCTTTAGAAGTAAAGTAAATCTACTTTGGAAATTTAAATATATTTATCGCTGATATTTTTATTTGGATTGAATTCGGACATATTATATTGTTTAGAGATTTAGTATGTTTATCGAGAGTTCACAATTGTCTTTCTTAATGTTTTTTTTTTTCCAATCAATATTCATTATCGATTAAGGAAAACATATATAATTTTTTGAAATCTCACTTTTTATGAAGATATTATTTAAGAATATGAGTTTAACAGAAATATTATTTATTTCAGAATATATACGATTTTACCATGTTCGATTTTGCTAATCGAAAATTGCATTGAAATATTCTTTGTAAATATTGTCCTAATTAATAATTGCTCTCAATAATAATATGATTTTAAATGTATAGAGTCCTAAATATGCATATGTATAATTAAATATGTAAATTTACGGGTAATATATTGAAATTCTTTAACTAATAAACAATGTGCATTCGAATCTTAAAGTATCTATAGCATTTATATTTTGTATTTGATAAACAAATATATATCAAATGTTTTTTTTAACTAATCTAAAAATGGATATAAATCATCTCCGTGCAAATGATCTATATAGTATAGGAAATTTAAATTTACTTATATAAAGGAATGCTATGCTCATTTGATATTGAATGTTCTAAAAAATTGAGTAGATATACACTAATCGATCCCGGGTGATCGAGTTAAGGGTAAATGACATAACTGAGGTTGATCCTGAATGACCAAGTTATGGGTCAGTTTGACCAGACTAAATCGATTATTGAACTAAATATAATTTTTAATATTAAAAATACATTATTAAAATAAATGTAATGTAGTTAATACTCCAAATAATCATATTAAGAATGTTTTTGTGACAACATGTTCAAGGAATTATGAAAAAATTATATTTTATTTTATTAATATTTATGTGAACAAAATGATGTTGTATTACAACTTTATTAATGTACGGTAAATTCAAAGTTCTCATACCATTTTCAAAACAATCCAGTTATTTATTCAATGATATCAGAATTTAAATTATTAATATTTTAATATATATAGTACTTTTTATAATAACCTTATTAAAAAATATTAATTAAATATATGGACAATTTAAAATTTTCAATGTATAAAAAAATTATAAATAATTTATAATTGTCCACTTTATTTAAATATGTATTTTTACTTATATTAAAAATAGTTTTAAATATAACAAAATTTATTTAAAAAATCTAACCGTTACTACCAGTCTGACCGACTGGTGTTGATGGGTTCTCTAGCAAACATTTTATTCAAGCGATATACATTTATTTGGTATATATTTATTATAAAATATTTATTTTATGATATACATGCAATATTTTACAAGATCAGCACGTATTGTTAATGTGCAAGGAACCATTCTACTTGATAAACATCGTAATTTGCAGCCATATCAAGATACATTGCATACTTGTGAAACAATTACGTTGTGGTTTCTTACGCAATGATTGTAAACAAGGGCAAGAGACAATCGCTATCCCTAACAAAAAACGTTATGTACAGGAAAATATTCAATAATTTATAATTTTTTTTACCTTCTTTGTGATCCATTTATTTTTGTTACATATACATAATTATATTAAATTTAATAATTCAAAGGTTAAACATTCTAGAAAAATATATCATCCCGTATATCGCACGGCTACGCATTAGTCAATAGGTAATCTTGACTACACAAATTCTTATAAGAGGAAAGTATGTAGATCTAGCAGCCACCATATTCTACATATAAAGATATAATTTCTATTATCAAATATCACAATCATAATAATATCACAATCAAATTCTATATGCCAAGATTACCTAAATGGCCAAGGGTCACCCGGCACGGACCCGGCCCGGTCAAACCCGTTGACCACGGGTCCGAGATCGGCCCGGACCTGATCCACCGTGCCGGGTCATGGAATGGATGACCCTCACACGGCCCGTCTGAAATCCAGGCCGGTCCCGGATCCGTGGTCAATGGGTTTTACCGTGCCGGGTCAGGGCCGGGTCGCCGAGACCGGCCCGGATTTCATGTGAGGGTCATCCATTTCATGACCCGGACCGAAGGGTTAGGGTCGGGCCGGGTCGACGACCCTTCTTTTCAAATTTTTTTTTATTTTTTTCAACTGTTTTTTGAAAAAGCACGGACCCGGCACGGCCCGGACATGGACCCGGCACGAGTATAGGTCCGTGCCGGTTCAGGGTCAGTGTTTTCGAGCCCGGCGACCCGACCCGGCCCGGGTTTTGGCCATGTCTAAGATAATCTTTTACGCTTTCTAATTTTATTTATCAATTTCATGCTTCATAATCCTATTTCTCACTTTTCGTGTGATTTGAAAGTCATGTGATTTAAACTTTTATATCCATGTATTAAGACATTAGAAATATTTGATCAACTTAAATTATAAACATATTTCAAAATCAATACATTTTTATTTAGTATTATTTTTATATATAATAGATCAATTGATGAATCTTAGATTTTACATTCTTATAAAATGTGAAAAAAAAATTACAATTTAAAAATAAATAAACTAAAATCATTAATATTATTTTAAAATTCACTCGTATATTGAACCAATAATACTTAGGACTGTCGTACTACTTTTATATCATTAGTCAACTCAATAAAATCAATCAACACGGTGTCATCCCCCCTATATATTAATTCAGAACATGCTGAGCCTAAGTGGCAGGCTCGCATGTTTCGGAATCTTATGTGGCAAAATTACATGCTTCGTTATTAGGTTTGGGTAGATTTTAATTTATTTTCAATTCAAAAATAATTAAAGAATAAACACCCGTGTAATACATGGGTGTTGTACTATTTTATTTTAAGCCGGAAAAAAAAAAACATAGCGTCACAAAAAAAAAATTCTTGAAAAAGAAAATATAAAAAGAAGACAAGAAAAGCAAAAGGTGTGGACGGCTTAGATAGCAAACATACCAGAGCATTAAAAGAATAGCGAGTGACGGCATTCCACTTGTCCAAATCATAGGCAGTAAAATGTTTGCAGCAAGCAGAGGCCTGAAGATTATACTTAATACTAATCTTCCCCCCAGATGTATCGTTATTATCAAAAGTGTCCCCCTGAATTCCCCTCACATATGCCACGGCATACTGCCCAGCGACCAATGGATCCTCGCCAGGTGTCTCCTGCCCTCTCCCCCATCTCGGGTCTCGGAATATGTTAACGTTTGGTGCCCAAAACGTCAGCCCTTTTGCCTGCCCTACGTTGTAAAATGCCCTTGCCTCTTTACCAATCGCCTGATATTATAATTAATAAATGATTAGTGCTTACAAAAATTAATTAGTATAACTATAAGGGTAGGAATAGTATCAAAATGTAGTAATTTAGAGGTGTTTATTTGGGATTAGACTTATGATTATTCTAATACCTATCGCCAGTGTATCTTTCATTTCATTAGATAAATGATAAGTGTAACATTGACATATATAATACAATTTAATTATTTTAGAATAGAATTCGCTATCTCTTCTTAAGACGGATTTAATTATTGTGCAAAATTCCTTTGTACTTAACTCAAATTACGTATTTTTCCTCGTGTTTTAAAAAAAATAGTCGGTACCTTCTTATATAAGAAATTACTCCTACAATAAAACCAAAAGATTATTTACATGAAGTTCATATAAACAAAAAAATAAAGAATATAATAAGCATTAATTTTTATTTTATTTTATTTATTATTTATTCAATATTTAAATTTATATTATTTGGTTTAGAGAAAATTGCAATTTTAGTCCAGTAACTTAGGTTGTTTCCCACTTTAGTCCAGTAACTTGGGCCGATCCAAAATTGGTCCAAAAACTTCCAAAATGTAGTTAAATTAGTCCAATTCCGGTCCCTGTCGCTGGAATTCGAATTGCCAACTCAGCACATTTCGATCGGATTTCGGCGACGGGGACCGGAATTGGACTAATTTAACTACATTTTAGAAGTTTTTGGACCAATTTTGGATCGGTCCAAGTTACTGGACTAAAGTGGAAAACAACCTAAGTTACTGGACTAAAATTGTAATTTTCTCTTTGGTTTACTATATTTATTTGATATTAACCTAATCTAGTATATTTATTTATTTATCTTACTTAACAAGGTATATTTCTTTATTTAATTTAAAACAATAAATAATATAAATTTAAATATTTGTTTAAAATAATATTGACACTAAAATACATAAATCAAATAAATGCAAATAATATGTTTATTGAATACAAAATATTTTATTCTTAAAATTTATAATTTTAAGAATATATCATAAATACAAGTATCATTTTATTATATACTAAATAATTTTAATATTATTTTACTTCATTTTATTAAAATGTATTTTAATTTTTATATTAATTTTAATTTTAGAATTATTTAAACTCACTTTAGTTTATTTTATTAAATTTTATTTTAATTTGTCTTATTTTAACTTTCGTAATTTAAAATAATATTTATTATAATTTTATCTATGTTTATTTTTGCTAATTTAATATATTTTATTTTAATTTATCTTATTATTTATTGTTTGACTTTTTTACAAATATATTTATTCGGATTTAAATATTTAGTACTAATATAATTAAAAAATGTTTTTAAAACTATAATGTTGGCTAGGCGTAGTGGTTGTAAGGTTTGTCAATGCACTGTAAGGACAGGGGTCTGTCTCCATAAGCTGCAATTTTTCATTTTGCCTAGTAAAGTTACTGAGGTTGAAATGAGAAGTTAAAAAATTTATTAAATAAAATATCAATAATATTCATATGAGCCGTGCGTGTATTACACACACCGTTATCTTTGACGGTGGGAGATAATCGTACCATCAAAACTTAAATAAACTTAAATATAAGAGAGTTTTGTGCATTTCATAAAATACATGAAAAAAATGCGTAAATTTCACAAATTTCGCTAAATACAAAGGTGTATAGTATATTTTTACCCTTCTTTGGACTAGGAAAATATTCACTGCTGCTTTACAATGTCATCCTACCTTAGAAATTGTGTGAAACTTGCCTCTATATTGTCTGCATTTTCGCACTACTATTGTTCATCAGGCTAAAAATTTCCTACATTTTTTTTACATATTTTAATAATATTTATTTCTATCTATCTTGACATAGTTTTCTCGGTTATGTGAAAAAGTATATATATTAGTATATAGTACTGATATTTTATGGAGTAAATATAGACTGAAAATGAATGTTAAATTTTGGGCAATGTGTTGAAGATGACGTGGGACTTGTTAAGTTCTTCGAGTAAACTTTAACAATGTGCAAAAAAATGATTATCA